CGCAGGTGCAAAACTGGGCAGCAACAAAAGGACCAAAAACCAGTCATTTTGCCATTTTCGATTGGGATTTTGGAAGCTTATATCCGCAATCTATAAAGAATTTGGAGATGATCCAAAAACAAAAGTTGTAGCCCTTTGTATCTAGTTTTCAGAAATGCAAGCCATTTGTCATTAGGAGTTGTCTACAAAAAGGTATGGTTAATATACTACAGGCTGTCTGGAGAGTGTTTTGAAATCTCCAAAAATTTCTGTTTCACGGGGCTAAATTTGGGAACTTATATCTCGCCATCTATAAGGAACTGGGTGATGAGCAACACATGAAAGTTGTAGCCCTTGGTGTCTAGTTTCTAGAAAGTTAAACCGTTCATTATTTAGATATTTGTACAGAATGTTATGGTTGATTTACCGAAGGCTGGTAATGTTGTTTTCTGGGACAGAGGATAAATCGCATGTGTCAAATGCGATTTATAAGTCTCAATTGGCAAATACTTGCCTAGAACAGATTCTTAAACACGAGAGTTAGCCATTTTTACTCATTTTTGAGTTTTGAGTCTCGGATTTAGGCGATTCCAAAGGGGGTTTTCGCGACTTCGATTTGGGTAAGTGTTCTATATCCAAAAGTGATTATATTTCATAAATCCATGTTCATATTCATCAATTATTACGGATTTAGGTGTAAGAAATTGGGATTTTTGTAAAATCTTCCAAAAAAAATATTTAAGATTTGAAAGCCAATCCGATGTCGGAATTCGATAATTTTTGCATGGTTGAACTCGTATCGGAACGGGTGTTCGGATTTCGTAAAAATTTTGTCGGGTTCCGGAGGCGGGTCCCGCGTTAACTTTTAAAAATAAAATTTTAAATCAATATTTTATTAACCGGAATTGTTTCCGATGAATTTTAATGAAGTTATACAATTAATTTGGATAGATTGGAGCTATCTGGTGGTCGATTCAAATAAGAAGGCGATTTTGGAATATCGGCCTAACTTCAAAAATGTAAGTATCTTGCCTAACCTTGTGTGAGGAAATTTTCCCTTAGGCATTGAGTCTTATATGGAAATTGTGTGATTGAAAACCATGTACGTGAGGTGACGAGTACGTACTTGGTTTATTTGTGCAAATTATATCTGTTAAAATTTGTAGACATCCGTGTGTATTTAATTGAAAATAGTTGACACTTCGTAAATCCTTGATTGTCGTGACTCATTCTTTGTTTGACGAGTTTGTATTTATATGATAATTTAGTGTGATTGCTACTTGGATTTTTATGTGAATTCCATGTGTTTGGTGATTTGATATTTCTTAGAAATAATTTTATTATGGATTTTCGATCCGCAAATAATTAATTAAATACGGTAAGAATAGGCATTAATATAATTATCGAAAATTTGGATTAAAGAAGGTGTTGTCCTATGATGAATTATTTTTCCATCCTTGTTATTGTTTTGAGGTTTTATATACCTTGTGTGGAGACTTCGGCTTTTTGTTGTGAAATTAATTAATTTTGTTGTATCTTTGGAATTGATTGTGGCCTACGAACAATTTGTGATATGAATTGTTATGATAATATTCTGTGTAAATTATTGTGTAATTTGAGTTATTATTATGAGGACATAAGGGTGACATTCCATTGTTGATATTACGTGGGTATAAGGGTGGCATTTCACTGTGATTATGTGTGTTGGAATATTGTCTAGGCGGAGTGATAAATGTGGCTATTATACAGAGCGATAAGGGAGGCTATTATACGGAGCGATAACGGAGGCTATTATAGGAGTGATAAGGGTGGCTATATGAGAGATAAGGGCGACTATTGTCAGGGATGTTATGATGATGATGGGATATTGTGTTGGTAATATTTATGTCGTGTTGTGAATTCCTTGTGAGTTCTTTTACATATTGTTTAATTTATTTTATAAATTCAGTAAATTTGATAATAGTCAGATATATGTTGAAATTATGAGCCTGGGAATATTGTCGGACGGATTATGATATGGGCACGAGGTGCCGGGGAAATATGATGAATTTATTATTGGCATGTGAATTGTCCCTGCAGCTATGATATGAAATATGGGCACGAGGTGCCGTGGTTATATAATTAAAATTATATTGGCACGTGAATTTTTCGTGCAGTTGTGATAGAAATATTGGCACGAGGTGCCATGGAAATATGAAAATGGGCTGAGACCCGTATTTTATGATTTGAAATGAGGTGTCCCATGGTAACTTTTATTTGAAAAAATTATATTCGAAAAATATTATTTGAAAGAATTTTTATTCGAAATATATTTATTTGGAAGAATTATATTGGGAAAATATTTGTTTGAAAGAATTATGAGAAAGATATTTATTTGAAGGAAGTATATTCAAAAATATATTTATCGAAAAATATTATATCCTAAAGATTACTATTGGGAAGATTTATAGGCGAAAGATTAATATTTGAAGAATTTGATTAATTGGTCGTACTTGTATTCATTATTTGCTGAGCAATATATATGGTGTTCTTGTTGTCGTGTTGTTTATATCACTGGTTGATTATTGTTGTCATCATTGTTATTTGTTTCCTATTATTTTGTATGCTATATTGAACAGGTTATTAAACTAGTGAGTGTCTTGACTGTACCTCGTCACTACTCTACCGAGGTTAGTCTTGATACTTACTAGGTACCGTTGTGGTGTACTCATACTACACTTTTGTACATTTCTTTGTACATAGCTAGGTATTGGAGATATAGGACTCGAACAGAGTTAGAGAGTGATTGCAAGGATTCAAGGTAGAGCTGCTTAGTCGTTGAAATCCTTTGGAGTCTTTCACTTTTATCGTACTGTCAATTATTATTCGAGCAGTATTGTATATTTAATTTCCTTCAGATCATTTCATGTATTCAGTTAGAGTTCGTGACTTAGTACTACCAGTCTTGGGAGGTTGTATCTTTATTTCCATTGTTGGTTTAGATTATAAAAAAATGGCTTGAATTGTTATTATAATCGGCTTACCTAGTCTTAGAGACTAAGTGTCATCACGATATTTATGGTAGAATTTTGGGTCGTGACAATATGAAAGGGATTTAAGAAGACTCAAGGACAAGCTGGATAGGCTGGAGAGGATTGTACGATATGGGGGTAATGGTGGCAGTATAGACGATAGTTCCTTTGACTCTGATGATATGGGGGATGATTAGTTTTTTATTTTTATGCTTTTTTTTTTGTGTTTTTGTGCCAGTAGACTATATTTTTGTGGAAGTATTTGGTATCTAAAAGATGGCAATGTAATTTTATTTTATATTAATATAATATATTTTTGTTTAAGTCTTTATCTGCCTTACTTTTGATCATAATTCCTCTTCAAATTCAAAAAAAGCTAAATAATGACTATACTTTTACGGTTAGATATATGAAAAAATCAAACAATCCCACATATAGTAATGGAAGCTATACAGCCCAGTGTATTATAATGGAGAGAAGTCTAAAATAGTACAAAATTGGTATCTAGAACAAGTTAGTGGAATTAAATAATTTAAAATTTTGTTTCCTATATATTTTGCTGGATGTATATATTGCGAAACCATAATGTCCCTACAAAAGATGTGCACAATCCAGATTTTTTATCCTAAGTTTGACCAATTTATTAATCGAGATAAAGTTGTAAGGATTGAAGATTATAATTTCGATGGTGTGTTTTTAAGTATAATATGTTAAATTTAATAATTTTTGCTGATGCAACTCTTGTTGGAGTTCTTATTTTGCTTGTTTCCTGATAATTATGCTGGAAAAACTACTTATTAATCCATATAGGCCAGTATATTATTATGGAGATGTGTAAAACAGTGGAAAATTTCGTCTTGAAATTCAAGAAATAACTTAATAATTACTAAACTTTTACGGTTAGATTTGTGAACACAATCCATCATAATGGAGAGAAGTGTAAAATAGTGCAAAATTGGTATCTAGAACAAGTTAGTGGAATTAAATAATTTAAAATTTTGTTTCGTGTATATTTTGTTGGATGTATATATTGCGAAACCATAATGTCCCTACAAAAGATGTGCACAGTCCAAATTTTTTACCCTAAGTTTGACCTATTTATTAATTGAAATAAAGTTGTAAGGATTGAAGATTATAATTTCAATGGTGTGTTTTTAAGTATAATATGTTAAATTTAATAATTTTTGCCGATGCAACTCTTGTTGGAGTGCTTATTTTGCTTGTTTCCTGTAAATTATGTTGGAAAAACTACTTATTAATCCATATAGGCCAGTATATTATTATGGAGATGTGTAAAACAGTGAAAAATTTCCTCTTGAAATTCAAGAAAAAACTGAATAATTACTAAACTTTTACGGTTAGATATGTGAACACAATCCAGCATAATGGAGAGAAGTGTAAAATAGTGCAAAATTGGTATCTAGAACAACTTATTGGAATTAAATAATTTAAAATTTTGTTTCCTGCATGTTTTGCTGGAGGTATATATTGCAAAACTATAATTTCCAGTATTTTGTACTGGATGTTCAGAATCCAGATTTTTAACCTAAGTTTGCTGATGCAATTCTTGTTGGAGTTCTTATTTTAGTTGCTTTCTATAAATTATGCTGGAAAATCTAGTTATTAAGCTATAGAGGCCAGTATATTATAATGGAGATGGGTAAGACAATGGAAAATTTGTATATACTATAATTTGCTTGAATTAAATAATTTAAAAGTTTCTTTCTTGCATATTACTCTGGAGGTATATCGCTTGAAAGTATAATCTCTCGTATTTTCTATTGAATGTGCACAATGCAGATTTTTTTAGCACCAAATCAAGAAACAAAAAAAATAGACTAATAATATTTTGAAAAAACAAGAATACCGAACAAATTATTCGGGATTACAATCAGTTTTTCATATGAGCCAATGCAACTTTATTGTATATAATCAATCATTTTTTTTCCTGCATTTTCTTGCATAAGGATGAACTACAGCAAAATTTGTGTAATTTGTTCTGTTACGCCCTTATTTTTTGCAACGACCACATCTTGGTTCCTTCTTGAATTCTGTATCGGAAACATGTTGATTCTTCTGTCTTCTTCCTAGCATTACTTTTGCATCTGGAGACTTAGTGATTTCTGATTTAACATTGTCTGGTATAACCCATGTTGTTGAATCACCTACAGAATTTACATGTCCTTCATATGTTTTCAACCAAAAGTCCCTTGAATAATAGGCTAAGCAAAAGGCCGATTTCTTTTGATATATCCTGTCAATTGTAGCAATTGCATGTTCACAGGGTATCTCATCTAGCGGAAATTCAGAACAATCACATGTTCTTTTGTCTAGATCAACAATAAATTTCATACCCCCTTCTTTGACATTGAATTTGAGTCGATCAATGGGCAATACTCTAAATGTAAAAGTTGGTTTAATTTTTTCTTCCAATGTTGCTTCTGCCCAATTTGATATCTCACGGAATATTCCTTCTGCAGTTGTCCTTTTTTCATAGAACCAGCTTCGCAATTTTTCTTGTATGAAATCCATCATTGTTAAAAGTGGCAATTTTGTTGTGCGTCTCAAAACATTATTCATTGACTCAACAATATTTGTTGTTAACATATCATATCGTCGTCTTGGACAATGTGAACGAGCCCATCTTCCTGGTGGTTCCTCCATCAAATAATTGAATGTTTTCTTATCAACAACAGCTATTTGGGACATGAAGTCATCAAATTCTGATTGAAGGTATACTCTTGCAGCACTTTGAAAGAGGTTTATTATAGTGTTTCTCACTCTTCTTTGCTTTAGATTTTTTCTAAATGATATATTGTTATGACCCAAAGGGCCATCGCCTATTTTTAATTGAATTATGTGCCTCCGAGGCCCTGAAAACCTCATTTAGAGTAGCCTCAATTTGCGTGCATCGTCCGGGTGCATAGCCGGAAAGATTAAATATGAAATTCTATGAAAAATGTTAAGTCTTGACTTTAAAATGAGTTAATTTGACTTCGGTCAACTTTTGGGTAAACGGACCCAGATTTGTGATTCGATGGTCCCGGAGGGTCCGTAGGAAAAAATGGGACTTGGGCGTATGCCCGGAATCGAATTCCGAGGTCCCAAGCCCGAGAAATGAATTTTTAAGTGAAATTGTTTGAGGAAATTTGAAATGAAAACTGATTAGAAAGCAATGGTATTGGGCCCGTATTTTGGTTCCGGCGCCCGGTACAGGTCTTATATATGACTTGAGTCATTCCTGTGAAATTTGGTTAAAAACGGACGTCGTTTGACGTGATCCAGGCCTTAATTGAGAAATTTGATGTTTAAAAGAGTTTTGAGAAATTTTATTGATCTCGATGTTTAATTCAATGCTCGTGATGTTATTTTGGTAATTTGATTACATGAATATGTCCGTAGGATGTTTTTGAGGTCGTGCGTATACTCGGGTGAGTTTTGAGTGGGTTCCGGGATGCCTTAGGCTTAGAAAGTCAGATGTTGCAGGTTTAGGAAGTTGCAGTCTCTGAACCCTCTAGTGTAGTCCGCGAGAAATGGCGTGCGACTGTGGAGGGGCCAGCGCGGCCGCAGTCACTTTTGTGTGGTCCGCGGTGGAGGTTGTGCGGCCGCAGTCGCCTTTGTGCAGTCCGCACAGGGTGCTGAACTGCAGGTCTTCAGGGAGGCTTGTGCGGCCTCGGTCCATTTGATGTGGTCCACACAGGGGGTCTGAGAGGGGTATAAATAAACGGGAATTTCAGTTATTTTTCACTTTTCAAAAC